CTCGCCGTTCTCGCATGCCCTGATCCCGGCTTTGGAGCTGATGACGTCGGCCCCTGGTTTCTCCGCGCACCCCCTGATAGAAGGGCTGGGGCTGATGACATCGGGCTGTATCTTCGCCTCCCGCTTCTCGCAAGGTGGCATCCACGCAGTCTGCCGCCCGCCATGCGCACACGCCCTGATCCCAGCGATTGAGCTGATGACGTCGGCCTCCAGTTTCTTCAGGCACGCATTGATCCCAACGCTAGGGCTGATGACATCGGGCTGTAGCTTCGCATCCCGCTTCTCGCCGAATGGCGTCTGAGCCGCCGGCCGCACGCCGTTCTCAAACGCCCTGATCCCGGCGCTGGAGCAGATAACGTCGGCTTCTGATTTCTCCGCGCTCGACCGGATCCCAGCGCTGGGGCTGATGGCATCGGGCTGTATCTTCGCCTCCCGCTTCTCGCACAGTGGCAGCGGAGCCGCCTGCCGCTCATCGTTCTCACACTCCCTGATCCGTGCATTGGAGCTGATGATCTCGGCCTCCACCGCGACAGCGCCAGTGGAGAACACCGTGGTCCCGCAGGTGCAGACGAGGCCAGTGCAGAGCGGGTACTCGAACCGCTCGAATGGTTCCCAATAGCCCGCCGACGGAAAGAACTCGGCTGTTTCGGCGCGCAACGGGGTCGCATCCGCCTCGATTATCTTCGTCCGAACGTCCAGCTGGCGCCCCTGCATCCTTTGCACACGATTGAATGCCCTGACGAAAGGTCCATGAGCTGGTCCATGGGGAGGTTGAAGACATGCAACGCTACGTTGCGCAGCACCTGTTCCCTATGAGAGTGGGCAGGTGTGGCACCGCGCCTGGTAGCCTCGGCCTCCGCGACGAGAAACGGTAGAATGGCATCCAGGCGCCGTCGAACTTCAGGGTTGTCTGCCAGACTGCAGCGTTCCTCTAGAACGGTTTTCTCTATCATGAGTTTCCTGACCAAACTGTCGGCCGACACTGCGGCCCGCGAGCGTCGTTGCCGTCGAGCTGCAGCCGCGCCATCTTCACGCCACACACACACACACACACACACGGAGGGCGGATCCCGCAGCCTGTCTACTCCCAGCTTCTGGCGCCATGAGCTAACACATAGAGCCGAGATGTTGGGGCGCAGCGGCATGAGCCAAAATGGCTACGGACCCTCCTCCTCCTCCTCCTCCTCCTCCTCTTCCTCCTCCTCCTCCTCCTCATCATCATCATCATCATCATCATCAACAACAGCCTCTTCGCAGCCTTCTGCATTATCTGGCGCGGACCCATGTTTTCACGCCAGGGCGCACCCCCCGATCGCGTCGCCCCTCAGAGGCACCGACCGGGAGGCCCACCTCACAAGGGCGCCCGCGCCTCAGCTGGCCTCAGCCAGGGCTTCTCCTGAGCGGGAACACAAAGGGGGAGGAAGGAGCATCTGACGATGACGACCACTTCCAAAACGACCACGACCACGACGAAAGCTCCGATCGCGATCGCAATCGAAAACCAACCGGATTGCCAAGACGTCCTGTGCAGGACACCCGCACGACAAGAACCGTTACACAGGAGGGGAACACTCAGCAGCAGAATCGCGAACACGCTGCGCGCCGTCGACTCACTGAAACTCAAAGCTGTAAGGGCGGCCCGTTTCCAAAAACGCGGCCTGCACGATGCATCCTGCATACGAGACGAACTCAGGCAAAATCAGTCCGCACCGAATCGGGAAACCGGATCACTTCGGAATGTGCGTCGGAGCGGGCTGCATGGTCACGTAACCAAAATCGTATCGGATCGGTGGCGCCAGGATACGCAATAGCATCATGCAAACATCCGGCCGCATCGGATCGTCGGAATATCGAAGTCGAATCGTGTCGAGCCCACCAGAATCGATACCGAGTCGGATCGATCGGATCAAAAAGACGCTGCTCAGGGGAGAAGTATGAAGACGCTTCTGATGCAATGCACGCTCCGCGCCAGAATCGTGAGAACGCCTCGCGCAGGAACAACCACCCATCGGCAGGCGCTCACCAAAACCATATTTGTTTGCACAACGAACGCCGTGTGTGACCTCGCGGGTGCTTTTCCACCCCTTCTTCCCATTCGGCGAGGGGTTGGCCCTGGGTCTGGACGGGGTGGGCGAGTTGTCAAAGAGTTCTGTTTGGTCCAAGATTCCTTGATAAGGGCCACATATCGCGCAAAACGGCCTCCAAGATGACTCAATATAGCCTAAGATGACTCAAGATAACCTCCAACATGCCTCAAAGAGGCCGAAAGACCGTCCCGAGACGGCTCCAAGTGGCCCCCGAACATCAGAAAGGCAAACCCCGAGATGCTCAAATCATTGAAAACCTGAAGTTGTTCAGGGCGCGTTGGTTTCTCGCCTTTCGCTTGCCTCATGATGGCCCCAAGATCGCCCAAGAGAGCTCGAAGAAGCCCAAGACGACCCCAAGGGCGCCCAAGAGAGCCGGTGGCAATCAGGGTTGCGCCAAGGCCCCCCGGAAAGTCCCACGAGAGCCACGAGTTTGCCAAAAAGGCTCCCCAGCTGGTCCCAAGAGGAATTCAAGAGGCCTGCAAGAGGTATGTATCCACAGGCCTCCAAGTTCACCGTTCTTGGCCCCTGTTGCTTTCACTACCGTATATGCTTGTCCAAGTCCTGGTTCACAGCAATTCCCTTGGGCACCGTTTCTGGATAGGCTGGTAGGGACACTCTCTTGTTCCCCACATGCTTAGTGGGGGTTAGGTTTTCTTCCCTGCCGCGCCGCACCCGCGTTCACCTTCACCTCCTCCTCCCTCCTCCCCTTCCCACACAGCGCAGCACAGCACAGCACAGCACAGCACAGCACTGTTCAGCACAGCACAGCACTGCTCAGCACAGCTCAGCACAGCTCAGCTCAGCACAGCACAGCATAGCAAAGCTCAGCTCAGCACAGCACATCACAGCTCAGCTCGGCACAACACATCACAGCACAGCTCAGCACAACAGAGCACGCAGAGCCTAAGAGGCGTGGCACTTGCGCGGCCGCTATCCGTGACGGTCGCCCAGGGCACAGCAGGCGTGGACTTTTCGCGACACCACAGGGGGTGCGCACGGGGTGGTCCCTGAGCGCGGCCGCTATCCGTGACGGTCCTCCAGGGCACAGCAGGCGTGGCGATTCCTCGACACCACAGGGGGTGCGCACGGGATGGTACCTGAGCGCGGCCGCTATCCGTGACGGTCGTCCAGGGCACAGCAGGCGTGGACATTTCGCGACACCACAGGGGGTGCGCACGGGGTAGTCCCTGAGCGCGGCCGCTATCCGTGACGGTCGTCCAGGGCACAGCAGGCGTGGCGTTTTCTCGACACCACAGGGGGTGCGCACGGGATGGTACCTGAGCGCGGCCGCTATCCGTGACGGTCGTCCAGGGCACAGCAGGCGTGGCGTCTTCTCGACACCACAGGGGGTGCGCACGGGGTGGTCCCTGAGCGCGGCCGCTATCCGTGACGGTTCCAGGGCACAGCAGGCGGCGTTTTCTCGACACCACTGCGCACGGGGTGGTCCCTGAGCGCGGGACGGTCGTGACACCACAGGGGGTGCGCACCTGAGCGCGGCCGCTATCCGTGACGGTCGTCCAGGGCACAGCAAGCGTGGCGTCGTCTCGCACCAGGGCAGCGTTTTCTCGACACCACAGGGGGTGCGCACGGGGTGGTCCCTGAGCGCGGCCGCTATCCGTGACGGTCGTCCAGGGCACACAGGCGTGGCGTTTTCTCGACACCACAGGGGGTGCGCACGGGGTGGTCCCTGAGCGCGGCCGCTATCCGTGACGGTCGTCCAGGGCACAGCAGGCGTGGCGTTTTCTCGACACCACAGGGGGTGCGCACGGGGGTCCCTGAGCGCGGCCGCTATCCGTGACGGCCCAGGGCACAGCAGGCGTGGCGTTTTCTCGACACCACAAGGGGTGCGCACGGGGTGGTCCCTGAGCGCGGCCGCTATCCGCGACTGTCGTCCAGGGCACAGCAGGCGTGACATTTTCTCGACACCACAGAAGGCGCGCAAGGGTGGTCCCTGAGCGCGGACGCTATCCGTGACGGTCGTCCAAGGCACAGCAGGCGAAGCGTTCCTCGACACCACAGGGGGTGCGCACGGGGTGGTCCTTGAGCGCGGCCGCTATCCGTGACGGTCGTCCAGGGCACAGCAAGCGTGGCGTTTTCTCGACACCACAGGGGGTGCGCACGGGATGGTACCTGAGCGCGGCCGCTATCCGTGACGGTCCTCCAGGGCACAGCAGGCGCGGCGAATTCTCGACACCACAGTTTTCTCGACACCACGGTGCGCACGTCCCTGAGCGCGGCCGGGTGTCGTCAATGAGCGTCCCGGCCGCTATCCGTGACGGTCGTCCAAGGCATAGCAGCGTGGCGTTTTCGCTCGACACCACTATCCGGACGGGTGCACGCAGCGTGGGTAGTCCCTGAGCGCGGCCGCTATCCGTGACGGTCGTCCAGGGCACAGCAGGCGTGGCGTTTTCTCGACACCACAGGCGGTGCGCAAGGGGGAGTCCCTGACCGCAGCCGCTATCCGTGACGGTCGTCCAGGGCACAGCAGGCGTGGCGTTTTCTCGACACCACGAGGGGTGCGCACGGGGTGGTCCTTGAGCACGGCCGCTATCCGTGACGGTCGTCCAGGGCGCAGCAGGCGTGGCGATTTCTCGACACCACAGGGAGTGCGCACGGGGTGGTCCCTGAGCGCGGCGGCTATCCGTGACGGTCGTCCAGGGCACAGCAAGCGTGGCGTTTTCTCGACACCACAGAAAGCGCGCACGGGGTGGTACCTGAGCGCGGCCGCTATCCGTGACGGTCTCCCAGGGCACAGCAAGCGTGGCGTTTTCTCGACACCACAGGGGGTGCGCACGGGGTGGTCCCTGAGCGCGGCCGCTATCCGTGACGGTCGTCCTTGTTGTATCGACGGGGCAACGGCCATCAACATCATTCTCACATGCTTCACTTCAGCTATCATCACCCCAGACATAATATGAATATGTGGGTTTCCTCGGTAACGAAATCCGAAGCGCAAGCGGAGGAGCCGCGCGCCGGCAGGAGATAGCCGACTAGCAACGACCTAAATTACAACGGCATAAAACGGAGCCGGACGCGCGCAGCAGACAAGCGGCGGGCAAAATTGCAATCTAAGCGGCGGGGGCGGGCTCAACCGCAGCTCAGAAGGACCAGGCGAAGACCCGGCCAAAGTGGTTGTTGAGTCGACGACGCCCACAATTCGATGACGTCACTCACTGATCTCATCAAACGATACCTCGGCGATGGGTCTGCAGGTGCCGACCGTAGAACCAGCAATCCACCGCAGTCGTGAGGCACGCTGCCGTGTGACCCCTTCCACGTGGGCGGCAGGCCGTCAATGATGGCGTGGGACCAGCGCTGGGGGTGAGAAACTGCATCCAGGGGACTGGTGGGGGCACGCGAATCGTTAAGAATTCGGCGGGCACCCCGCAGGCCCTGTATCGTGCAAGAGCGTTGCAGGTTAATTGGCGAAGTGGCTGATAGCTGATGATTAGCCAGCTAATATTGAGGGCGCGAGCCACCCCAACCCTTCTGGCAACCAAGTGTGGGGCCTTGGATGGAGCCCAAGACGGCCCCAGAATGCCTCACGATGGCCAGAGGACGGCCCAATAAGTCTTCAAGATGGCCGCAATGCAGTCACACTATGGCCACCAGACGGCCAAATGTAGCTTCGAGACGGCGCAAAACGGCCGAACCCCAGGCGGGCCGCTCTGGCACCCCAACAGAAACAGAGACCAGCCCCATGCTAACAAAAGAGACTCATTGAAAGAATGCGGATATATGGCGATGCAGCACGAGTCGAGGCAGCGCGATCTCCCGGCTTGCCAGCTGAACCAGCTCTGGAATATCTCGAGGGCGCCGCTGGACGTGCTGGATGACAAGGCACGCGAGCTAGGATCCTTGGCTGCGCGCAGGGGGGGTAAGTGGTGGTGGAGCGTCTCGTGAGCGACGAGACGGTACGATCTTACGCGAGAAGACATAGCGACCTTACGCCACGCTTACGAAGGGAGCCAGCGCGGCACACCGCGTGGAGAAGGGGGCATTTACGCGCGACCTTACGCGGGAAGCAACCCCGTTTTAGTCCATCGCTCATGCGGGGAGTGCCCCGCGACGCCCAGTGCGCTATCACACAGCTGTCAGGCTCGACTGCCTCCACACGAGCCATACTGAGGGAATCATGCAGACGCTGGTCAGGTGGGAGGGGGCTCAAAGAAAGCGGGAGGCCGGGGATCGGAGGCCAGAGGCAGGAAGCCCCCCCCCTGCCTTCTCAGAAGGTCGCCCCCCTGGCGCACCACCCCCGACCACAGAACCCGCTCAAGACAAGTGCCCGGACCCCACCCCAACCGATGGTGTCGAGCCGTGCCCGGCCATGGCGGCGAGGGAGCGGCCGAGGGCCCAGAGAACGAAAATGAGCCTGGCGAAGGACTCAGCCAAATGCAGCTGCGAGCCTTGTCTTCGGAAGAGCTCCCTTCAGGGCCACGGAACGTGTAAGGAATGTACCGACACGGGCGCGGTGAACACATGCGAACGCAGCCACTGGGGTCTTCGGTGGAGTGCCATATGGGACCGCAAAACGTGTGAGCGTAATGGCGAAATGGGTCGAGCGGACGCATGCGAACACCGCCTCTGCGGCCTTCGGTGGTGCTCCAAGAAACGTGAGGGATGTACCGAATTTTGGCGGCGCGGAAGCGTCTGAGTGTTGAAACGAAAACGATTGGAGCGGACGGCTGCGAACGCAGCCACTGGGGTCTTCAGTGGCGCTCCCTACGGCGACACGAAACCTGTGAGAGGCGTGCTGGAATAGGCGGGGCGGACGCATGCGAGCGCAGCCACTGGGGCCTTCAATTGAGCTCCCTACGGGGCCACGAAACGTGTGAGGGGGGTGTGCCGATATGGGTGCGGCGGGCGCATGCGAACGCAGCCACTGGGTCCTTCGATGGAGCTCCTTACGGGGCCACGAAACGTGTGAGGGGTGTGCCGAAATGGGTGCGGCGGGCGCATGCGAACGCAGCCACGGGGGCCTTCGATGGAGCTCCCTGTGGGGCCACGACATGTGTGATGGGTGTGTCAAAATGGGTGCGGCGGGCGCATGCGAACGCAGCCACGGGGGCCTTCGATAGAGCTCCCGGTGGGGCCACGAAACGTGTGAGGGGTGTGCCGAAATGGGTGCGGCGGGCGCATGCGAACGCAGGCACTGGGGCCTCTCTTGGGGCCACGAAACATGTGAGGGGTGTGCAGAATGGTTGACTGGCGCGGAAGGCAGAGGCAAGGAGGGGGAGGAGGGAGGAGGGGGAGGACGAGGAGGAGGAGGAGGAGGAGGAGGAGGAGGAGGAGGAGGAGGAGAGGAGGAGGAGGAGGAGGAGGAGGAGGAGGAGGAGGAGGAGGAGGAGAGGGAGGAGGGGGAGGAGGGGGAGAAGGAGGAGGAGGAGGAGGAGGAGGAGGAGGAGGAAGGACTCGGTGCGCTCTCTTCAAAACAAGGACCCAACACCAGAGGATGGTTGGGAAAATAAAGGCGAGGAGAAGGAGGTCTCTAGAAATGTACTAAGGTTTCCCGAGATCCCCAGAGGGCTCCGAAAGCCCAATATGCCGACAAACACCCCGAAACAACCAGGGACCTCAGGGAAAAGATGGCGCCGAGATACGTCGGAAGCGTCCGAAGGCGTCCGAAGGCGTCCGAAGGCGTCGGCGGCGTGCGCACTTGTGAGCGGTTTGCTCGACGAGAGGGACTTGCAAGCGGCCGACCCCACGGCAAATTCATGTCTTGACGACTTGCGCGGTGGATGCTAACACCGCGAAGATCGTCAAACCTTGAACAATCCGGACTGTCCGACATGGAGGCCGTGCACGGGGACAGCAGCGAAACCTAAACCGACCGAAACCGACAGGCCTCAAGCAGCCTGAAAGGGCGCGACGCGGCAACGGCAAAATAACCGACAAAACCGACCGAACGCAACCGACTGCGACTCAGCCAAACCGACCGCGAGCACACTTAGATATACCAGCCGATTCTGGGCCACTTGTGACACACAGCCTTGAACGTCTGCTCTGGGGCCGCCGCCGCGCCCACACGAAGCGCGAGCCTGCCATGAGAACGTTCCGGCCTCCTAGATGGGGTCCGAGTGGATGGGGTCTGAGTATCGCGCCGCGTAGAAGATGCATCGCCGATGCGTCGGCGACGTCGGCGATGCATCGGCGCCGGCGGCGTGGAGAAACCCGGCTGCACATCGAGCTGCATCGCTGATGCATCGGTGATGCGGCAGCATCCTCCGACCCCATCGTATGAGAAAACATTGGAGGCCTCGCGCGGCAACTCGAGACCCAGTTTACGTCGAATCCACGTCGAATTACGTCGGATCTGCATCGGACTTGCGTCGGACTCACGTCGGAACATCGCCGCGCGAACGTACCCCCTAATCTGACGGGGCGAACGTGCGGACTAAGCAATGCAGCTACTGCGCGCCGCGCGAGGCCTCCAGGACTTTCCCCACAGCCCGCCTGCGGGGGTCTGGGGCACAGGGGTCTGGGGCAGGGGCCCTGGGGTCTGGGGCCCTGGAGCCTGGGGCCCAGGAGTCCGACGGCCCAGGAGTCCGACGGCCCAGGAGTCCGACGGCCCAGGGCACCCACCGCGGCCGACGCGTCGACCCCCCTCTGGAAGCCTGGCGCGGCCCCCGCCCATCCGGGCGGGGGCCGTGGTGGCCGCCGCTCGGCCCCGAGCCGGCGGGCCCCCCTCGGCGCAGGCTCGGGCTCCGCTGCGCGGCTCCTCGACTCTGCGTGCGCGCGTGGGCGTGCGCGTCCGCGCGACGGCTGACTGCGCACCATCCTTGGGGGTCCCAGCAGCGTGCGGTGACAGACCGCGCGGTGACTGCGAGATCCCGAAGGACCTCGCCGTACGGTCCACCACCGCACGCCTGGGGGACCCTGGAGGCCCTAATTGCCCGAGACCTCCTCGGAGAGCGGCCCGAGTCCCAGAACCGTGCGGTGACCCCGAATCCCCAGTGACTCACCACATGGTGTGGTCACCGCACCGTCTGGGAGGGGGGCCCGACATACTGCGCGGTCGTGCCCTCCGCTATGCGGCGGCACAGCTTCGACACCGCCCAAAGTTTGTCATAAGGCAACCGGTGCCCTGGCGGGCACGAGGCAAGGCCGGCGAGCGCCGCAGCAGGCCCTCCTCGCGCCCAGGGATGGCCAGGGCGGGGCCGCGGACAGAGATCCGGCCTCTGGGGGCCCGGGCTGCATGACCTCGCCCTCCTTGGGGAAACGGAAAGATCCGCCACCGTGCCGCGAGGCACGAGTTGGAGTGTCGCCGCGTGGAAAGAATTAGGCGTCCGGGCGGCCTGTCCCCTCACAATCAATACGGAATTGGACTGAAGTGTCGCAGACCCAGGAGGGTCGCAGCCGAGGAGCCGCGCACCGATGTGGGACCAGCGACTCCTCCTGGAGCAGCTGCCGCAACATTCACAGGAGTACCGACACCGTAGAATTTCAGGAACAGGAAGGCCGCGGCCGTAGAGCCGCGCGCGATGCCGGCACGAGCCCGAGTCGGAGCGTCTTCAAGTCCGTAAAGCTTTCCCAAGAGGCCCTAGCGGACCTAGGAGGCCTCAAGAGGCCGCCAAGAGGCCCAAATGAGGTCCGAAGAGGCCCCAAATCGGCCCCCAAGAGGCCGCAAAATTGTTTTCAAAGGCCCCCCAGAGGCTGCCCAAGGGACCCCAACAAGCATCTAAGAAGCCTCTGACCCGCAAACACGGGCACGGTGGCGAGATGGGCCGAAGGCCATGAAGATCCGCCGCCTCCTTTTGATTTATCAAAGGGGTGCCTGGCGTGCCAGACGATATGGCTTTTGGTCTTGGTTCTTTTTCCAAGAGAAAACTCCCCCTGGGGCTTCGGCACGTCCCGCCGGGGTCCTGGGAGATTCCCGAAAATCCGTCCGTCAATGCCTTTGTTGCCCTCAAAGACAGCTAAGATGGCTCCAAGATGCACCCAAGACGGCCCAAGATAACCTCAAAATGGTCTACGACGGCTCAAAAGGCCCGCAAGAGGACTCCAAGACGGCCCAAGAGCCCTCCACGACGTCCAGAAGGCCCGACGAGGCCAAAATCATTGATTTTCCTTACGTTTTTGAAGGAGTTTGGCAGTTGCGCCTTTTCGGCTTTCCGACGGCCCAAGACGGCCCAAGAGGCTCCCAAGATCGCCCCAAGATCGCCGAAGAGGCCTCCACGATGGCCCTATGACGGCCCCAGACGCCCCGAAGACCGCACCCGAAGACGGCCCAAGAGGCCTCCAAGACGCCCAAGATGGCCTCCAAGACGGCCCCGAAGCGCCCCAAGATTGCCCCAAGTCGGCCCAGAAAGGCCCCCAAGACGGCTCCCGACAGCGTCAGGCGTGCCAAGAACCCACCAAGATGGCCGAAGTTGGCTCGAAGCTGGCCCAAGACGGCCCAAGAGGCCCCCAAGAGGGCCTCCAGGAAGGCCAGAAGAGGCCAAAAACATTGATTTACCAAAGGTTGTTGACGGATTTTGACATTTGCGTCTTTTCGGCCTTCCGACGGCCTGAGACGGCCCAAGAGTCCTCAAAGAACGCCGAAAGATCGCCCAAGAGGCCTCCAAGGTGGCCCCAGATCGGCCCAGAAGGGCCCCAAGACGGCCCCAAGAAGCCCCCAAGAAGGCACAGGAGGCCTTTAAGACGCCCAAGATGGCCTCCAAGACGGCCCTGGAGCATTCCAAGAGGGCCCCAAGTCGGCCCATAGAGGCCCCCCAAACGGATTCCGACGGCGTCAGACGGACCAGGAGCCCACCAAGATGGCCGAACATGGCCCTAAGATGGCCCAAGACGGCCCAAGAGGCCTCCAAGAGGGCCTCCAGGAAGGCCCGAAAAGGCCAAAATCATTGATTTCCCATGG